GATAGATATTTGGCAACAGAGGAATTCATCAACTAAAAGGAGAAAGTAATTGCGTGAGGATGAAGCACGAAAAGGAGTTCTATTTTGAGCAAGAATATAGTTCATTGATTGAGCATTTGTTGTATTAGATTCCTCCCATAATTCTACCTCCTAAATCTCTATAAATACTTCATGTAAACACCCTACCAAGGGGATGAGAATTCGATCTCCAGATTAAGAGTAATACTGCCTTACGCTGCCATACTATTTCGACATTATTTCTATACTCTACGTATATTTAGCTCTCGTAGTTGGATTAAACTCCATCAGCACACAACCATTAAGTTGAGCCTCTTCCTCTCTATAAAAAGGGGAGAAGTTTGTTGAACACGTACAACATTTGATCTTGGTCACTTTACTTTGCCTTATTTAATTACTATTATCTACAGTGATAGTGATAAAATACTTTGACCACTTTATATACAAATCATTTGTTCGGTGTTATTTTATCACTAACTAAAATACACTATAGACCTTCTTTTTATCCCAAAAGTTCTATCTTGTAGAGCCCGTTTGGTAACACGAAAATTGGCCGATTTGGCTGATTCTGCTGAAATTTATGAAATACTGGCTGAAGTGGCTGCATTGGCTGATTCTGCTGATTTAAGAAAAAAATCATTTGTATAATATATTTTATTAATAAAATAAAGAAAAAATTATATGTAAAAATAGCTAAAATGATCATCTACAGTAACTTCAGCCAATACAGCCAGAAAAGTAACTCCAACCTTACTTTTTCTACTTATTACAAAATTCAGCGCGCGAAAATAAGAGTTCGTGTTTGGTGAAAAAGTTGGCTGATAAGCCTGATAAGCTGAAAAACAATGTTGCCAAACGGCCTCGTAATCCGGTACTATGATAAGGGTAGATAGTAAACTTTTAGTAAAGTGTGAATTTTACGTGACTAGAAGTGATATTCAGTCCAGCCATATTTATACACCCTTATATTTTTACTAGTTTTATCCGCCAGTTCTAACAATCTAAAAGTTTACTATTCTGAAAATATGGCCGCTACTTAACGCGATATCATCAACACCAATTTTCAAAACTTGGAAAAGTTTGAAGGTATGGAGTTTCGAAGGTGGTGGCAGAAAAAGATGCATTTTCTGCTCACTACTTTGAAAGTTTTTCGATGTGTTAAGCACTTCGAGGCTGCCTGAGGAAGAAGAAAATGAGACTTTGGAAACAAGCCGCCGCCTCATAAAGTGGGACAATGATGACTATATCTGTCGTGGACACATTTTGAACGGTATGTGTGATTCTCTATTTGACGTGTATCAAAATGTTGAATATGTCAAAACATTGTGGGAATCCCTAGAATCTAAGAACATTACCGAGGATGCTTCAAGTAAGAAATTTCTCATTAGTAACTTTAATAGTTACAAAATGGTGGATTCTCGTCCGGTCATGAAGCAATTTCACGAAATTCAACATTTGCATGATCAACTTTTGATTCACAACATGCATGTTAATGAAACCTTTGCGGTCGGTTCTATAATCGACAAATTACCACCTTCATTGAAGGAAGTGAAAAATAGCATCAAACACAAAAAGGAGGATTTGTCAATGGAGCAACTTGGTCGCCGACCTTCAAATTGAAGAAGGCATTAAGTTGCGTGAAGGTGACAATTGTAAAAAGAACGACCTTCCAATTTCCTATATAAATGTTATGGAGGAGGGATAGTCAAGTGGGACTAAGAAAAATTAAAATCGTCTCGGAAAATTCACCAAAGGTTCCAAATAGTAGTAGAAAACTGTCTTATAGTGACACTTCGTCAGTGACACTTTGTGATACGTGTCACTAATAGACGACATATTGTCTTGAAAATGCCATTATATGTCAGTGACATTGGCAAAAGTAGGAAACGGGTCATATTAATAATTATCATAAAAAATCTATCATGCTCGGGGGTCATTATTGTAAATAAGAGAAATTAATTTTCATGTCCGTTCTAAGTTTAACCCTTAGGAAATATCTTGAAATTTTTTGAATCCTGACATCTAAACCTACCCGCCGCTCACTCCTCAATCTCCAAGCTCTAGCGCAGCGTCGCAACCCACCGCTCACTTCTCCATCTCCAAGCTCTAGCGCAAGTGTCGCGACCCGCCAACATCCCACCTCACCTCTAGAGTTTTATCGGCGGCCACTCTCCTGACCGCTCGAGCCCAATGACGTGCCAAACCAACTGCCCTAACCGCTGCTTGCATCTCCGGTGCAGCATCACCACCAAGGGACTCAATCAAGTAAAAGAGGTCCAAGAAATGCTTGTCTGCAAACTGTTTCTTTTTCAAATAATAAAGAGTTGTATTTGCTTCACTATAGACTAGGACACCCTAATTTCCATTATTTAAAAAGGATGTTTCCTCAGTTATTTCTAAATAAAGATACTTCTTTACTTCAGTGTGATATGTGTGCTCTTGCAAAACATCATAAAAACTCATATCTTCCCCACAATTATAAACCTACTAGTCCTTTTACTTTGGTACACAGTGACATTTGGGGAGCATCTAGAGTACCAACTTTAAAGGGAAAGAGATGGTTTGTAACTATTATTGATGATCATACACGAGTCACATGGGTTTTCTTGATTAAAGAAAAATCTGAAGTTGAAAAAGTATTTAAGGATTTTTATGCTATGGTCCAAACTCAATTCAATACCACAATTAAGATGTGTTGAAGTTTATTCCTTCAACCCTCGGGTCCAACACGTAAGCTCAAGGATTTCGAGTGGAGTGTGTATGAATATCTAGCCCAACAAGCAGATGATATGGATCAAAGAGAACAAGAAGTAGCAAGTAAGTGATTAGGTATTATTATCTCTTAATAACTCCCTAATACAATACTTTTTCGCTAAGGCTCCGTCGGCCGTTCGTCTTACAAGGGCAGTAGAAGTGTTGCGAATAAGAATGCTATAGCTAGAGTGCTAGGAATAGAAAGTTGCCAACCCTTTACAATGAAATAAATGCTTCTATTTATACCCACCAATGGGCAGGTGGCTATTACTGACATGGAAGCCTGTGGTTCGCTGGTGTCTCAACCACCAAATCTTCAGCATTAAATGCTCTTCCCGCCAGAATCTAGGTTTCCCGCCTAATTAGTGGGGACGTTCGTCCGCCCGGGGGAGCGAGCTGGATCGCTCCAGGTGGCCTCCAAGGGGTATCAGCTGTTCGTTCCCTTGGCCCTTGGTGGATTCTCGCCATGTGGACTGGACTGCCTCCGATGGCTATGGGCTTGCTGTGTGACGACGTTCGTCGTCATTCTGGTGACCCGTGGTCCTGCTCCTTGTCCCCGCATAGACGTTCGTCGAGATGGCCCGTTGAACCCTAAGCCCCCAACTGCAGACGTTCGTCTCCCCTGGGGGTTGTGGGCTTGTCCGGCTAGCTAGCGTGCTATCTCGACGTACGTCCGTAAGAAGGGGAAAATGGGCCGAGCCTAAACTTGGGCCATTAACCCAACACAAGTCCCCCACTTCTGATGTTCTGGGCATGCACAGGACATAAGGAAGTATGATCTCCTTGAGGGCAAGACGCTCGTGACCTGGTACTTGTGTTTGTTGCATCTGGTGAAAGCGTACGCACGTGGTCATGGTGCTTAACAGCTGTTGACGGTTCAGGAAACGAGGGTGACGACTGCTGTAGCGACGGTGCATTTTCCGAGGAAATGTCATCATTACGCTCCCACCCCACGCACAGCGCGTGAGCCGGAACACGCTCCTTGCTACGTGTCAACCCCTCGTTGGTTCCCCCATCGGTGTTTCTCCTATAAATGCTGGGTTTTCCCTCTGGACTAGGGTTCCCAATTTCTGCTCCCTTGCTCTAGAATCTCCGCTGTTCTTCGAGTTCTCTCTCCCCCGCTTCCGAGTTCGGCTAGTCTCCTTGTAAGGTAATTCTCCTCCTCTGCTTCTTTTGTCTGTCTTGACTTCTCGCCAAAATGACCTCGATGGAGATCTCGTCAAGTTCTGGTTCCGGTTCGTCGGGTTCCTCCGCGGGCTCCTCCTCTGATTCCGGTTCACGCTCCCCCGGGAAAGGCTAGTGTTTCTGGGACTTCTGGTTCGGCCACGACGGTGGGGGACCATCCGGGCTGATGGTGAGGCCGGATGACGCTTCCCAAGGTAGTGGGAGGCGACGCCGGGGATGGGAATGTTGACGGGGGCAGTAGATGTCATTGATGCAGTCCCCCTGAATGAGCGCCCCGCTGATTATGACTCTGGGGAAGAGGCCGAATCCGGCTCCGACATGGAGGTACATGATCTGGGCATCCCCATGGACATGGGAGCGCCACATTTGTCCGATCAGGAGCGCCCTCGACCACGATCAAGTCCTTTCCCGTGTGGCTCTCAACAAAATCCGCACTTTCTTCCCCCCCGCCGTTCGTCTGGAGCGTGAAGGGCGCTGAGCATGTGATGAGGAGACGTCTGGGGATGATTATGCTCCATTTGGACTCCGTTGAAGCCGGGCTGCGGTTTCCACTCCATTCATTCTATGTGGAGTTCTTCCACTGCTTCCAGGTGGCCCCGGCGCAGTTCATGCCAAACTCCTATAGGTTCATATCGGCCTTCTTGGTGCGCTGCACACTTGCGGGAGTCACTGCCACCTTGGATCTGTTCCACTACTTCTACCGGATCACTCCTCAGAATTCCGATGGTTACCTGAGCGTGGCCGCACGTCTAGGAAGGAGGCTGTTCAAGAACTACCCTTCGTCTATCCATGATTGGAAGAACCGCTTCTTCTTCCATAGATACGATGGCCCTCCTCTCCCGGTTTGGTGGAACGGCTATCCCCCGAAGATCGAATCACCGGACCTGACCGACGATCTGAGCGGGGGACGTGGAGAAGGTTTTGCAGGGCGGCGTCTGCCCTATAGCTGGTTACCTGACCTTCGAGGCACTCTCCGGGGCAGGCATAGGTACCGCCCGTGTCCCTGGACTTTTTCCACCCTTCGACGCTCGTCTCGGGGTACCGGGCGGTCCTGTCCTTCGAGGTGAGTGTCCTGTTACATTCTCCGTTCGTCTTTTAACCCTTACTTGTTTCGTGCAGGTTCTCCACCAGATAAGACCCAGATGAATCACGCTGAGTGCTTGAAGAAAAGGAAGGCCAAGGCTGCTGCTGCTAAGGCCGCGTTGGCGAAAGCCAAGAACGCTCCTGCCTCGGACTCCAATTCCTCGGCCTCCGATGCTGCCCCGGCGAACGGCTGAGGGTGAGCAGCATTTGATTGCCACCATGCTGGCCCAAGGGTCCGGGCCCCCCGCTCTCGAGGCTGCCCTTCCGCCGCCGGTCGTCTCCACGAAGGCGGCTTCTCAGAAGGGGATAGAGAAAGCCCCGGAGAAGAAACAAAAGAGGGGCCGCGAGGCAGCCTCCACTGGCCCCCTTCTTGAAGACGCCGGCGCCCTGCCCTTGAGCCGCCCGACGGAAGAACTCTGGAGGGAGATGGCCCTCAAAGCCGGTGTTGAGCTGCCCTGCCGTTCGTCTTCTGAGGCGACCAGCGCTGCTCTGGCAGCTGCTCTTCAGGTACTTCCTCCATCCTTGATCTGGGTACATCTCCCATTCTTTGTTCATCTTTTGGTTATGTGTTCTGACCCCCTTCTTTTGTTCAGTCTGGGCTCCTAGTTCTTCAGGCTGAAGCTGCCAGGGAGGCCGACCTGAGAGAGGTCAAGGCCAAAGCCGATGCCGCCGTCGCTACAGCCCGGGAGGCCGCTCGTCGAGCCGAAGCGGAGGCTGCGGCCAAGGAAAGGGAGATTGCAGCTCTGCAGGCTGAATCCCGCAGCTAGCTGGTCGGCCTTGAGAGAGCCGGCTTTAAGCTTGTCCCGGTGCTCCCTGCTGCTAAGGATGCCACTCCGGAGTGGCTGGTTGACACCTTCGGCTATAAGAACACCGGGGAGTTTATGGACTCTACCAGAGATTACTGCGCCGGGGCCTTCGGCGACGTGTTTTCTGCGGCTCTGGTGAAGATACCGCCCCGGCAGCGTCTGGCCTACGGTGTCCGGATCCTTGAGAGCTCTCCTCTGTCCCACAAGTTCTTGTACGAGGTCAGCGACAGCACCTTTGCCGCCGGGTACAATGAAGGAGTTAAGGCCACTCTCCCCATTTTTGCCAAGCTGCAGGGGGCTGATTTTGACCTGGCTGCAAATACCGATGACGACCTGCTGATCCAAGCTTTGGGGAAGCTGGGGAGGGATCGGCGCCGGGAGGAGGCTAAAGCCAGAGGAGAGACCCCAGAGCCCCCGACGCCCGAGCCTGAAGTCGAGGAGGAAGAGCTGAACCGGGGAAGCAGCCGGCCGGGGTCCCCTTTTCTTGTATAGTGTAGTTTGTAATTTCCTTGTTTTGAATATGTAATGCCCAGCCGTTAGAGCTGAGGAATACACGCTTTTTTGTCCATAATTCTCTCTACGTTCGTGATCTCTTACTTCATTACTTTTCTTTTCTTTATCGTCTGTTGTGTGGAATCTCCTTTGGTGCCTCGCTATACTTTTGACGTAAAGTTAGAGTCTGCGGGGACGTTCATATCTGTCCCTCATTTTGTTTAGGGCAACGGGCATCCCCTTGCCATGTCCCCGCACGTACTCGAATGCGCGGACGTATCGCGAGAGTTCGTCTACGGGCGCCGATGCTTGTTTGCCGCTCGGCAACAGTATTCTGACAGCGACGTCCATCTTACAAGTGCGAGCATATCACCAACCGCTGTCTGTGGTCAATTTTAATGCCGTAAGACGACGTTCGTCGGTGGTTGCCCCCTGGTCAGTAGCAAATCTCTTAAGTATGGAGATATGAACGTACTTCCCAGAACCAGCACTTGATTGAGACGTCCGTCTGTCATATGCGTAAACGCAAATATCCATGCTGCGCGTGCTCTACCCAAGCTTCGTAGGGAGACGTTCGTCTGATCTAAATGTTCCCGTGGCGCGAAGTATGGAAAGACGGACGTAGCCCGTTGACGCGTATGTCTCCCATTAGCTGCTGATATTAGGCGTAGCCGATGGTCGCGATCTCTGGGCGTCTCTAGATCCTTTGGAGCTGTTAAACCCCCCTGGCGGGACGTTCGTGGCATCGATCCGGGTCCCCTTGCCGTGATTATGCGGCGACGAAATCGAGGCACCTTAAATACCGTGGTAGGTACCGGTAGCTGGGTGCCACGTGTTCCACTTCGGTTGGTGGGATCCCACGGTGCTGTCTATAAGTACCCAGAAACCATGTGATTCATTCACACTTCTCCTTACGCTGCACGATTGCTTCCTCTCTCTAGATTTCCTTCAAGCCGTGTCGAATCTCGCACTTCCAAGGTACCGTTCGTTGTCATGTCTTCTGAAACCCGCTTCGACGATGGTTGTTCTTCTGGAGATGACTTAGAATACTATGAGCGGGGAATGCCGCCTCGGCCTCCCCGTTACAGCCTTAGCTTCTCGTGCGTCCGGCGTCAAAACCAACGCCTGACGAATGCTAATAAGCGTCTGATCGGCCAGTGGTTTTATCCCCCAAGGACCTACGATGATCGGCGCCTGCGCAACCCCATGCGCCATCTGCCCGGCTATGTGGTGGTCCACCTGGATTCGGTGATAGCCGGGCTGAACTTTCCCTTGCACAGCTTCCACTTGGAGCTCTTCAGAAACCTTGAGATAGCGCTTGCGCAGTTCGTCCTTGCCGCCTATAGGATTATTGCCGGCTTCATCATTAGATGCCATAGCGTCGGTGTGACCCCCACCGTGGACCTGCTACACCACTTCTTCCGGTTGTCCCCCTTCGGACGTACGGGGTATTTGACCCTGATCGCCCGTCCGTCCATGGTCCTCTTCTCGAACAATGCTGGGAATCCGGACGGCTGGGAAGAGCGCTTCTTTCTGGCCGGAGTAGGCTCACCGATGCCATTCCCTAACCGGTGGAACGCCTATCCGGTGAGGACGATTCCGCCGCCCATGACGGACGAGGAGCTCGGGTATGCCAAGCGCATAGCTGGACTCGGCATCCAGAACCTCCGGTTGCTGGTGGCCGAGCCTTTTAAAGCTCGGGCTGGGTTAGGTGCGTCCGTTTGTACTTGTATTGTTTTATCATCTCTTCGCTGTTATGGCTCTGAACGTCTTGGTTCCTTTTGTGCACGAGTTTTCCCATCTGCGGCCACCATGGGTCGTACCAACAATGCTTCGACTGCCGCTGGCCGTGAGCACAAGGGTCATGACAAGCTCGAGAAGCCGCTCGTCCCCAAGGTCGAATCTCGGGTGACCAGGGCACGGGCCGATGACACTTCGGGGACCGGCGCTTCCAAGAGGCCGCGTGTCGAAGGTACTGCTTCCAAGGCCATCATAGTGGCCGATGACTCTGATGGTGAGCCCGGGAGTCCCCTCAAGCGGAAGCCCATTCCCCGGAATAAGCCCCGCGTTTCTCCTCCGCGGAATTCTGACGTCCGTCGCCTCCGAGATGAGGATGTCCAGACTGCCAAGGGCTCTGACGACGCTTGTCCTCTTTCGCCCCCAGAAACCAATGGGTCCTCCCTTGGCTTGATTGAATTCTCCGGGGTTGGTCCCCGTAAGGAGTCGATGATGCTCTTTGGCCAGACAGCGTCCTCTATCTGGTGTGGCCTGAATCTCAAGGTTCCCCAGGACTTCGCCGCTCAGGAGGCCCCTGAAGATCTCTTGGAGTGTGGTCAGAGCACTCTGGATAAGGCTGGGCTCTACTTCCATAGGGCTCGGATGGCTTTCGAGCATCAGGGTAGGGAGATGGCCAGAGTACGGGCTGAATGTGATGCCCTTCTGAGGAATGCCAAAGGCAGGGCTGGGACTCTCCAAGAGAAAGCCGATGCCTATGATAAGCTCGTCCAGGAAAATGCTTCTCAGAAGAAGCTCCTCAAGAAACAGGAGGCTGAGCTTGTGGACCTTCGCAGCCGGATGTGGGTCGTAGAGCAGGCCAAGGTGGAGCTCCGCCGTACGGGTGTGGACAATCATGTCCCCATCTACGAGGCCGATGTTGCCAAGATTAAGGAGTCTGGTTCCATAGAGTTCCAGAAATCCAAAGCTTATACTGGTGCCATTCATACCATGGCCATGAAGTTCCTCCCGAGGCTCGTCGGTGAGTTTTTGGCCACCTGCCCGGACGCCTATCTGGATGGGGTTAAGTTGCTCCAAGCCACCCCCACTGGACGGCGTTTCCTTGATGATCTCGCCGATGATACCTACCGTAAGGGCATGGTTGGGCTAGTAGCAGAGAATCTCCCGACGTTCGAGCGTCACTTCGGGGCTCCTTTCGTCCCGGAGGCGGCTGGCTTTGATCTGCTGATGGTGGACGCTCATGCGGGGGCACTTGAGCTGCTGAAGGAGCTTGGGCAGCAGGAGACGGCCGAAGCCAAAGGGAAAGCCAAGCAGATCCCCTTCAAGACCCCAACTCCGGACGTTGATCAGTAGTGTTTCTCCGTCTATTGTCTTGTACTTGCCCTAATTTTTTCATTATTTACGTTGTACTTAACACATTTGTAACTTTCCGGTCATAAGAACCGAAGAATAAAAATCATTCTTGCTCCATGTTCGTCTAGCATATCTTGCTTTCTTTTTTTTTTTTTGGAGTCTTTTATCGTTCTTTGTTCTTCCCATGTTTCGTGATTACTGGTCTCCTAGTTTCGCAGGAGACGTTCGTCATCCCCACTCTGAGAAGAAACAGGTTTATCCACGTCGGGATTCCCTATCTCTGTTCGTCCCCAGTCAGGAGTTACTAGTCTTCTGGCTTCGCAGAAGACGTTCGTCATCCGTTCATCGGGGGGAGGAACTGGTATACCCTGTCAGGGTTCCCGTTTCTTCGTTCGTCCTTGTCGAGACCCTACTAACCTTCTTACTTCGAAGAAGACGTTCGGTATTCACCGATCGCAAGGATGTCACTGGTTTACCCTATCGCGGGTTCCCTGCTTCGTCGCCCCATGCTCGTGGCCCTACTAACCTTCTGCTCTAGCAGAAGGTGTTCGTCGATCCACGGGAAATGGGAGGAACTGGTTTATCTTGCCAAGGTTCCCTTTGGTTCGTCTAGCCCCCCCCCCCCACGTTCCTACTAGCCTCCGTGTCAGGAGACGTTCGTCATACGCGGCGAAGGAAGATCTGGCATACCTTGTCAAGACTCCCTCTCTCATAGGAGTCGTATCTCCCCTTCTCCTCTTTTTTTTTTTTTGGAGGAGGAAATCATTTCAATAGCACTTCGGCTTTAATCTCTCTGTAGGAAGCGAAAGACAGGAAGCAATCCTTTTAATATAGAGACGGCGATCGGTAGTGTTACATGGTGCTTCGACCAAATATGACAAAAACGATCTATCTCTAACTATTGGTAGAATTTCTTCAAGTGTTCGACGTTCCAGATTCCGGCGTGGTTCCCCTCCAAGGTATGGAGGAGGAACGTCCCCTGGTTATATCTTCTCATGACCCTGTACGGCCCTTCCCAATTCTTGGCCATCTTGCCACCTTCGAGCGGTTTGCTCTTTTCTCTCTTTCTGAGTACAAGGTCCCCAGCTTCAATTTCGCGGATCTTCACCGCCTTGTTGAAGTATCTTTGGGTGGCTCGGTGATATTCCTCCATGCGACGAACTGCTAGGTCCCTTCGTTCCTCGATGAAATGGAGCTCCGCTCGTAGGTTGGCCTCGTTATCCTCCGGCTGGAAATGCTTTGTGCGATGTGTGGGCACTAGTACCTCTGTTGGCACCTTGGCCTGGAATCCGTATGCTAATGCAAAAGGTGTCTCGCCGGTCGCCGTCCTTGGGGTTGTCCTGTACGTCCAGAGTACGTAATTGAGCTGCTCCGGCCAGATGGACGCGTAATCTTCTAATTTCTTTTTTATCCCATCCATGATGGTCCGGTTCATGTTCTCCACCTGGCCGTTGGCCTGCGGGTAGGCCACCGAGGCCTTAGAGTGCCTGATGCCCCACTTCGCCAAGTATGCCTCAAATCCTCTGCCGACGAACTGCCGGCCGTTGTCAGTGACGACCTGCTCCGGAATCCCGAAGCGGCATATGACATTCTGCCAGAGGAACCTCTGGCATTGATACTCGGTGATGGAGGCAAACGGCTCGGCTTCTACCCACTTTGTGAAGTAGTCAATCGCCACAATGACAAACTTCCTTCCGCCGGTCGTCGTCGGGAGAGGGCCCAACAGATCTATGCCCCATCTGGCAAAGGGTAATGCAACCGTCATCGGAGTGTAGAAGCTTGCCGGCCGTCCGGGGACAGGAGCATACTGCTGGCACACTGCACATTTCCGAGTGTGATTGAAACAATCCTGCTGGATGGTCGGCCAGTAGTACCCCTGCAAGATGATTTTCCAGGCCAAAGTACGAGGACCCTGGTGGCTGGAGCAGATGCCTTCATGTATCTCTTCAATAATGTCCGCTGCTAAGCTCGGCGGGAGGCATCTCAAGTATGGCCCGCCGAACGTCTTCTTATAGAATTGTCCATCAATGAGCTCGAAATTGGGGGCACGTCTTTTCACCCAGGCTGCCCTTCCGGTGCTGCCATCATCTTCCGGCTCGGGGAGCGTCCCATCCCTGAGGTAGTCGGCGATTTCCTTCGACCAATTAGGTTCGGCGATGGAGATGGCCTCCACTTGGATGACGTCCGTCGCCGGTGCCGGGAGTGTCTCTTGCCTGACGAAGCCCCTAATGTGCCGGGGGATGCTCGTCGCGGGGTCGTCGGTCGGGGGATTGCCTAGCTTGGATA